ATGAGTCCTCTTTCTACTACCACCTAAACTGCTCATTGTATCTCAATCACTCATTCAGGGAAAGAAATTTGCACACTTAATTTTCAACAAGAAGCTTCAAAGGAGAATTCTACTTGAAGCAAAATAAGGAATTGGAAAGATCCAAATTCCAATAGTGAGATAAGTCCAGCGGTGGCACAGCTGAATCAGCAGCACACTTCAAAAATCCTAGCCAAATTAACCCCATGATAATAACATCTGAATACCTCCTAACCATGTTTCAAAATCCAGACACAATTAAAGAAGTTGATAAACAGAAATATAAGAAAACAAAATATGATAAGCAGACTAAGTCCATTCTGATATTGAGTTTCTGTCACGAATTTTCCCATTCCTAGTTTATGGTTCCTGCCAAACCAGTTTTTCTTTAATCATCTTTTTTTCTTGGCCTGTCTCTGGGGACCATCTAACTATCTTGGTCTCCTTCTCAGTGGGATTCAGGTTCCTCCCCCAACTTTTCCCTCATTCTAGTTACCCTCCAGCTCGATACTATTCTCAAATTCTTTTTCCCTGACCCCCAAAAGTGGCTGCTCTGATAGTCCGAGCTTTAATATTCTTATTTCTAAATTCCTTCATTGTGGTATTATAACTATCCTGAAATCTGCTGCTCTAATCATTTTCCTGAACTATAATCTTACATGTCTAAACTCACCCCTCAAAAAAAACTTCTTACATAAATATTCTGGTATTGCTTCAAATGCTTCAAATGCAGGTTAGTCTGCAGCCCCAAACCAGTTCTTAAAATAACTGTGCAGTCATAAATTGCTTCAAATACACTTCTTAAACTCTTCTCCTTAAAAAGCTGATTTCGGGGGCCAGAATAATAGTACAGTGGGTAGGGTATTTGCCTTGCATGCAGTCAACCAGGGTTCAATCCCAGCATCCCATATGGTACCCCGAAGCACCACCAGGAATAACCTGAGTGCAGAGCCGGGAGTGACCCCTGAGCACCACATGTGTGGATCCAAACCAAAACAAGTTAGTTCACTATTGCATTTTTTCGCTATTGTTCCTACAAACATCAATGATATACATACATACAATACAAACCCCATACTGTTAGGATTCCTCTCTGCACACCTTTAATATTTTTCCATAGATCAAATGTAGCCAGAATATCCTATACCATTATCTCTGATTTATGGTTATGTCTGTTTGCCTCTCTCTACCTTGAGGGAAGGAAGTTATATCTTAACCATTTATATATTACCAGGAAATATTGCAAATACTGTCACATAAATTCATAATATGGGTTACCTGTTTCAACTAAAATCACCCCCCAAAAAAAAATTTCTACCCACCTTTCATAAGGCTCAGTTTAAATTCCACCTGATCCATGAAACTTTAGGTGATTCCATTGCCCCATTACAACCCTTGTAAGATTCATTACTCATCAGGATTACAGTGGGATCACATTGTCTTTAAAACAGTATTATCTCTGAATTAACAATCAAACTCTAATATAAACTAGCTGTGTTTCTCTAAGAAAATTTCAGAAGCTTCCTAAGGCTTAATTTTTTCAACTCTAGAATTAGAAAAATAAGATCTATCAGAGATATTAGAAGAGTATTAAAGGAAGATAAGCCATCTAGAACACTGTAGATGTTCACCACCTCCCTCCACCTTCACTTAACATTTCCATGGCACTTAAGTTGATAATGTATGTTATGTCTCAATTAAGTTGTAATGACTTGGAAGAATCCTTAAGGGCAGGAACAGATCCTCATTTATCGTCTTAAACACTTAATCTACCTTCCATAGGGAAACAATTTTAAAAATGAGAACAGTAAAATTACAGTTACAGAGGATTGATTATTGCAGCCAAATATATAGAGTCAAAACAAGAACTAATAGTCACCAATTTTCATCCATTTTAGTTGTAGCACTATTACATGACACTCTTAATTTCACTTACGCCAAAGGCACATTTTAACAAATATCAGCTCAAATCCAACAATTTGTAGAATAATACAAATTATTAAGTAATATTGTTTTACAGTGGGTAGGGCATTTGCCTTGCACGCAGCTGACCCGGGTTCGATTTCTCCGTCCCTCTCAGAGAGCCCAGCAAGCTACCGAGAGTATCCTGCCCACATGGCAGAGCCTGGCAACCTTCCCATGGTGTATTCAATATGACAAAAACAGTAATAAGTCTCACAATGCAGACATTAGTGGTGCCCACTCGAGCAAATCAATGAACAACGGGAGGATAGGACAGGACAGTGCTAATATTGAAGTCGGTTTATAAGGTAATCAGTATCAGAAGACCTTCTCTACATTTGTCCAATGTAATTTTATGCAGTTTTATCTCACAAATTATTGTACTTAATTTGATTAATCAGGTCTCTTCATACTATTTGTTAAGTAACACAACTATGCTGAGATTTTATATTTTCCTGCCTCAGAGTTGGTGGAGGTGGAGAGAATAAAAGCTAATACTAAAGCAAAAATTGTTCAGTTCAAGATCCAAAATTTGTGATGATTACACGTAATATTCTGATGTGCTTTCTTTCCAACTTGTTTTCATTAATATCAGGGCTTTACCATCCTCTCTGAACTTACTGGAATCTTTTTTTTCTACCTTGATTTATCATAGCTTTCCTTTACTGCATGTTATCTTCATCAAGGATCAATTCCCATGGTTGGGTTTCATTTTTCTCTCCCATCAGCTGCCCCACTTGCATGTACTAACAAGTTGGAGGAGCGGCATTGTGTTGGGTAGTAACCTCGCTCTCACAACCAGCTCTTCACTGCTCTTCCAAACACATTCCCTTTCCCTGCAGAAGCTCTTTCTCCAGTCTGACAAACCGGAATGTGCAGTCATAAATTTTACTTGAAAAGTAATCAGTGATGGGAGAATGGGTGCCAAATCACATACCCTTTCAACATTTTCATCTTTCTAAGTATTTTTGTTTCATTTTTATGGATCGAAAAGGGTTTTTGTTTGTTTGTTTGTTTGTTTCGGATTTTGGTTTGGAGACCACACCCAGCAATACTCAGGGGTTAATTCTCCTGGTTTTGTACTCAGAAACCAGTTCCAGTGGTGCTCAGGGGACCATATGGGAGGCTAGGGATTGAACCCGGGGTGGGCATATGCAAGGCAAGTGCCTTTCCTGCTGCACTATTACTCCGGCCCCAAAGATAGAAAAGTTTTATGGTAAGAAATAAAAGTATTCAGTACTATCAGATGAAATCCACCATAGTCAGAGAACATGACAGAATAGAAATCATCACACTAATAAAGTATAAAGGATCAAAATTCAAGTGTGTATGTATCAAGTTTCAACTGTTCTCAGTTTAGCCCCCCATTATGTAACTTTAGGCAAAAATCATAATCTTTTATCACCTTCAACTTCCTTTTCTATAAACTAGAGATATTAACTATCACCACTATCTCAGCTTGTTTCAGAGATTATAAAATCACAGCATAACAACCAGCATAACTATACAACTATAAACTATTTGTAAGTTCATATAAATATGTAAATACATTTTAAAATAATAGCAAATGTATAGCCTATAGCAGGTATAAAATTTTTATATGATGTGCTACAGTCACAATTAATTACTTCACTAGATGAACTTTCATATGAAATTCTAACATAATACATCCAAGGAAGAGTTTTCTTGAGGACTATATCTAGCTTGAAAACATGTTGGCAATCTTGTTCATACTTTTTGGAGCAATTATTATTCTCTGACCTAGGTTTATAGTCTTCCAAGAAAAATTTTACTCACAAATCATACCTAAATTTCCCCTTTCAATCAAATTAAGTGTATTTTTTAACTAGAAGCTAGTTTTTCATGCTATGTGTGACAAATTTCCACATATGATGTTCACATAGCTTTTACTAAATTTAAACTTAAAAAATCCAGAATCACTTCAATATTTCAGCTGTTTGCTAACTTTTGGGACCATGCCTGACAGTGCTTTACTCTCAGTCCCCGCTCTATGCTCAGGAATCATTCCTGGTATGTATGTGTTGTAGACCATCTGCAGTGCCATGGATTGAACTTGGTTCCATCAAATGCAAGGCAAGTACCTTATCCCTTTACTCCCTCCAAGGCTCCTAGATTTCAGATTTTTTTAATATTAAAAAGAAACTTACCATTAAACCTGAAAATTTGTCACTGCTCATTTCAAAATATTAATGTACTCTTATTTTCCAAATAAAGTACTCCTTAAAATTTCACACAATCACAAACTTGTGTTTTTTAAGCTGTAGTGATAGTACAGCAGGTAGGGCACTTGCCTTGCTCAGAGTTAACCTGGGTTCAATCCCTGGCATCATATATTGTCTCCCAAGCCCACCAGGAGTGATCCCTGAGCACAGACCCAGGAGTAAGCCCTGAGCATTGCCAGGTGTGGCCAGAAAAACAAACAAACTTGTGTTTTTATTCCTTTTTTTTATATGAGGCAACTCTCAAATATCAATTAAGTTTTTCATAATGTTTTAGTTTTTCATGAGATCCCTATTATGCCATATTTCTGTCAAACTTTATGTTGTCTGTTCCAATTAGCTGTTGCAATTAGCCAAAATGTGAATTTCAAAATTTTACATTAGCTATTAGTTTGCAACTAAATTTTCCCCCAGACTTTACAAACATTCTATATAATGTAAGTTGGTGCTAAAAAGTAGATTTTGAAAGTTGCCCAATGTTCTTCAAAAGGTGGCAAAGCTTAATGAAACATATGCTCATGAGGAACTACACCCAACTTCAGTTTCAACACAGCAAAATCCTGTTTGTTCTCCAGGCAAATTTAAGATCATTCATATTGGGTTTGGTTATTACTGAAGATAATTTATGCAATCATAAGCCAAAGATGCTAAATTGGCAAAAAGGAAACCATGCAAGTAAGCAGACGTGGGACATGTGAGACACACCCCTCTGCATATATAAAGGCTTGTCCCTGTCCCTGTCCTTTATAGCAGACATTCCCTGGTCTAAACAGCAGCAGCATGTCTGTCAGATACAGCTCCAGCAGGCAATTCTCTTCCTCCCGCAGTGGAGGAGGAGGAGGAGGCTCAGCCCTCAGAATTTCCAGCAGCAAAGGCTCCCTTGGTGGAGGGTATAGCTCAGGCGGCTGCAGTGGTGGCTCTTTCAGCCGTGGGAGCTCGAGTGGAGGCTGCTTTGGGGGTGGCTCATCAGGTGGCTATGGAGGAGGAATGGGAGGCGGGTTTGGTGGAGGGAGCTTCGGTGGAGGCTATGGAAGTAGCTGCGGTGGGGGCGGTTTTGGAGGAGGCAGCTATGGTGGAGGCAGCTACGGAGGAGGCAGCTTTGGAGGAGGCAGCTTCGGAGGGGGTGGCTTTGGTGGAGGAAGCTTCGGAGGCGGCTTCGGTGGTGGTGGATTTGGAGGAGATGGCGGCCTTCTCTCCGGAAATGAGAAAGTAACCATGCAGAATTTGAATGACCGCCTGGCTTCCTACTTGGACAAAGTTAGGGCTCTGGAAGAATCCAACTATGAGCTAGAAGGTAAAATCAAGGAGTGGTATGAAAAGCATGGCAACTCAAGCCAGCGAGAGCCTCGTGACTACAGCAAGTACTACCAAACCATCGAAGATCTTAAAAATCAGGTAAGGGGCATTTTCAAAACCCAACTCTAAACCTATTTCTTATTCATTTAATCCAGAGATATATCCTACTTAAGTGTTATGTAGATGTTCTATGTCTTTGTCTGTGACTCATCCTTGCTTTCAAAAAGTATATATTTTCACCGAAGTTAAAAATTGGCGATAGTATGCCATTGTAACCTTCAGCCAACATGGGTACTATCTTATAGGATGGTAGATTACTAAGAAATGTTTAGGTTTTAATGAGTTCATAGCTAAAATACACACCAGATCATTACAAAAAAGGAAACTGAAATAATTATCAATCTGATCAAAATACTCTTCAGGTTGAAAACAAAAACAACATACTTATTACCAATATTGCAGTAAACATAAATTTTCAATATGGAAATGAGATATTACTGGTCTACCTTAATTGTGTGACAGCTTAGTATTCATTCAGAATATATAAGTTATACCAAATGCAAAATAAGTCAAAAGTTGGCTGAAATACATGAAAATAATATGTTAAAGATGGTGACACATAGGAACACAACTGAAATCATTCTGGCTGGTTTTCAGAAAGGGGTGACATTAGAAAACAGTGTAGAAACCTTAACAAGTAACTCAAAGAGATGGGTAGGCTTCAATATTTCATGGTTCAAGTCTAACATTTCCTACAATTTTATAAAATGCAGTTCACCTATGTATGCCATGTGTGTATCTAATTTCTTTGCCTCTCTTTCTAGATCCTCACTCTAACAACTGACAATGCTAATGTCCTGCTTCAGATTGACAATGCCAGGCTGGCAGCTGATGATTTCAGACTGAAGTAAGTTAAGTGTACACATGACACAGTATCTTCACACAATTACTGTGACATAAATGAGTCATTCTTAACAATGACTCTGGATGCCCACAGTATCATCACTATTTCTCTTAAGACATTCCAACATAAACTGTTTTAGAGTTGTCAGAGAAATCATTCATTTCAATGTTACCTTTGGGGCAATCCTAAAAGAAGAAAGTGCATTGTAAAGTAACTGCCGGGTTTTTTTGTATTAAATCACTAATGTCCCTGTGTGGGTTAGCCTATGACAAATGTTACCACGATATAACTCAGTATTTGCTTTTTGAGAGTCTCTACCCAGCAACATCTCTGAGCAACACTGTTATATACAGCATTTCTATCCTGCCTGTTTCAGATATGAGAACGAGGTGGCTCTGCGCCAGAGTGTGGATGCAGACATCAATGGCCTGCGTAGGGTGCTGGATGAGCTGACCCTGACCAAGGCTGACCTGGAGATGCAGATTGAAAGCCTAACTGAGGAGCTGGCCTACCTGAAGAAGAACCATGAAGAGGTGATGCAAACATTGCAGTTTTCCCAGCACACCCCACCCCCACCACACACAAGAAAGCTCCAGTAAATGGCCACAGAGACATCATTATAATTTTTCATGTTCCTCAAACAGGAAATGAAAGACCTTCAAAATGTGTCTACTGGTGACGTGAACGTGGAGATGAATGCTGCCCCAGGTGTTGATCTCACTCAACTTCTGAACAACATGAGAAGCCAGTATGAACAACTTGCTGAACAGAATCGTAAAGATGCAGAAGCCTGGTTCAATGAAAAGGTAACTCCTCTTTTTTCCTCGTGAAGCTGAAAAAAGTGGGGCTAGCATTTCCTATTTTTCTCATATTCTTCCCTCCTTTTTTTTTAAATATCCTAGAGCAAGGAACTGACTACAGAAATCGACAGCAACATTGAACAAATGTCCAGCCACAAGTCTGAGATTACCGAACTGAGACGCACCGTTCAAGGTCTGGAGATTGAACTCCAGTCCCAACTCGCCCTGGTATGTGAATAACTCTTCTGTGAAGTGGCTTTAACTTTATCAACAACGTGTCAATGGTCTTGTGTGAGGGAATGCAATATAAGAGAACATGCAGAACTGGGGTAAGAAAGAGTTGAAAAAAAAAAAGCAGCCTTTTTTTCTTAATTGGCATAAAAAGCATTACTAGTAGCATTGCTCTAACAATGCTGAATTTGAATGCTTGCCATTAAACATCAAACACAGCTTCTACTCACTTTTCTCTTTATGTAATTCATTGCATCAGTAAATAAGTTGAGCTGCTCTTAACTGAACGGCGAGGTTGTTAACCTGTGGTTTACTCTTTCCTTGCAGAAACAATCCCTGGAATCCTCACTGGCAGAAACCGAGGGTCGCTACTGCGTGCAGCTCTCTCAGATCCAGGGCCAGATCACCTCTCTGGAGGAACAGCTGCAACAGATCCGAGCTGAAACCGAATGCCAGAACGCCGAGTACCAACAACTCCTGGATATTAAGATCCGACTGGAGAATGAAATTCAAACCTACCGCAGCCTGTTAGATGGAGAGGGAGGGTAAATACCCTTTTTTTTTTTTACCTGCCTCCAGTGCTTTAATTCAACACTCCAAATTGCAAGGCTTTGCCAAAACCCAAAGAAAATGCAAACGAATGGGAGAAAAGGGCAGCTGCTACCAGTCTTTATGCCATGTGAATCTGGCTCAAGAATGACCCTTACTCTAAGGGGGTGTGAATTCTAACACTGGTTTTAAAGAATCGATTTTTAAATACAAATTTGGCAGAGCTGGAAGTTCCCCACCCCCCACCCCAAACCATGTTCCTGCCTAAATTATCTAGGAGGCGAGCCTCCCTTTGCCCCAATTAGAGTTAAGCAAACGTGACCCGTTATTCTAACCAGGGGTTCCGGCGGCGGCTCCTACGGCGGCGGGCGCGGCGGTGGACGCGGCGGCGGAAGTTCCGGCGGCAGCTACGGCGGCAGCTCCGGCGGCGGCCAGGGCGGCAGCTACGGCGGCAGCTCCGGCGGCGGCCAGAGCGGTGGGGCCGGCGGCAGCTACGGCGGCGGTTCTAGCGGCAGCAAATCCCCTGGTTCCGGCTCCGGTTCCATGGGAGAATCTTCAAATAAGGGACCCAGGTCAGCAGAAACTAACTGGGGTAATCAGAATCCGCTTTAACTTTCTGTGATGGTTTTGTTGCATTTTCAGCTGTACAGCCGTTCTCTTTTTCTTTTTTATCTAATTTTTTAAGCGCTCTTTTGCACTAAAAACCAGAATTTCCTTACTTGCTATTTTTTTTTCTTTTTAAGCAGCGAACTATACCTGACACCAAACGGCATGATTTAAAATACTATCGCTGAAACATTGCTCTTTTTATAAAAGAGTCATATTAAAATAAAATTTTAAATTATTTTTTAAAAGTTGGATCTTCTTGCATTTCTCTTTTAGAAATGTGACTGATTCACTAGGAAGCCCCTTCACCACCTGGCACACCCAGGTTTCACCGTCTGTTTCTAATTGATTCTTGTGCTTTATTTCCAGATACTAATAAAACCAGGGTAATCAAGACGATTATTGAAGAGGTGGCACCTGATGGTAGAGTCCTTTCATCTTTTGTTGAATCAGAAACCAAGAAGCATTTCTACTGAGGCATGGAGAGCACAGCGACCCTGCAGGATTGCTGGCGAAAGCTCCAGTGACACCCTGCAGTATGAATGGTCTATGGAAATGGTCACCCCTGGGGTCTCGGCAGTGTTTTGTGGTTTCTGTAGTTCTTCTCTTTACTTTACCAGAAAGTGTTCTTCAGATGGAAAAAGAAAAAAAAATGCCTTTCTGTTCTCATTTACTAATGAATTTCAATAAACTTTCTTACTGCTGCAAACAATTGGATTTTGTCTGAATGGTCCTTATTGACATTAGCTCTTGTTTTTAACCTTGAGGTTTCTTACTGCATGGGTATGGTTTTATGGTGAAGACTGAGTTATCCACAGATTCTAAAATGGGATTATGGTCTCTGTGATTTACTCTTGTAGTACATTGAACCAGTGTCAAGTTATCTCATTGAGTCCCTGGTCTTACTCTTTCCTAAAAGATACACACCCTGTGAGAAGCTCACAGTTCATTGACTTCAAAATAAATTCAATCTTGAAAATTCTAAAGTATCTCATAGAAGACCCCCCAAATCAACCTCATTAGTAATTTCATATTTAGGGATTACTCCTCACATTTACCTATCCTTATAGTCTTTCTATTAGCTGTATAACTCAATTGCAATAGCTAATCAATTATCAAACTTAACTGCCCAGTAAAACCATAGTACCCCAACAGAAGTATTGGGTATCTGTCAGATGAAGAGAAGTATGATCCAGAGAAGGTGATACCAATTTCACCAAAGGATTCCTTCTATATTCTTGTCTTTGCCAACCCTGATCAGTGATCAGAACTAAAGACCTGGTATTTGTAGGGTCAACCTCCATCACATCCTTCTGTTGATAAGAGCCCAATGTACTGGTAATGCTTAGTGTCCAGCCAGTACACGGGGTACAAAGATCTGGAGTTATCTTATGGTCCTAAGACTATCTTACAATCCCTGCTGGAACTCTCAGCGCCAACCAAGAGGCAACCTTCGTTGGTATCCATCCTGAGTTCCAGTTTTCCCTAGGACCTGGGCTCCAGACCATTTTCTTGGTAGGAAAGCCTACCCTCTGTCCCCCAAACTGATGGCTGAAGCCCCAGTTGAATATGACCGAACTTCCTATAACCAAGTTTTTATGACATGTGTTACAAGTGTTCAGACTCTCCATTTTTGTACACATGCCTTTTCATATTAGTGAGTATATTGGAGTCCAGTCCTCCAAAGATCACTGTAGAAATTTCAATATATCTCAGTGTAAAGCCCTCAATCTGAAAATTCCCATCTAGATTGCACCTTGAGGGTGGGAATTGGTGGAAAAGCTTTTTTTTACTTATAAGCATGTGTTTCAAAATCAATAATTCCTGGGATTCATTTCCTGGCACACACTTGCAATTCACATATATATATGTATGTATAGATAGATAGATAGATAGATAGATAGATAGATAGATAGATAGATTGCCATTATGTATCGGGTTAAGTCTATAGGACCTAGAGTATTATTCATAAGTCAAGATGGTCATCTGTCTCTGTCACCGTCACTGTCCTCCCATTGTTCATCAATTTGCTCTAGCGGGCCCAGTAACATCTCCATTGTTACAATTTTTACTGTGTTTGGCATATCGAATATGTCACAGGTAGCTTGCCAGGCTTTGCCGTGCGGGCAAGATACTCTCTGTAGCTTGCTGGGCTCTCCGAGAGGGGTGGAGGAATCGAACTCAGATCGGCCATGTTGGCCGCTTGCAAGGCAAGTGTCCCCGCTGTGCTATCGCTCCAGTCCTGGTCATCTGTCTCATTGCAGAGAAAGAAGTATGTTCTTATTCAATGATAGCTAACTTGACATAAGTATGTTGTTATAAGATCATTGTAGTTTTTACTAAGCTTTGTCTCTTATACCCAGTTTTCCCCACCCCCTGTAACCCAGGATCTCAACTAGTCAGTTCTTAATCTAGTAGAACGGTAATCCAAACATTCATTCCTGAAAGTACTGAATCACCTGGGTTCTGCCTTCTTTTTAAATTTTTTTGTTTACAATACTATTCATAATGGATTCTCGTGGCCATAATTTCAACACCATACCCATCATCAGTGTTCCCCTCTCCCTCCCCCAAGAACTTCCTCTCTTGCCTTTTTTCATTTTCTAGCAACTCCTTAAACAGTTACTTAAATTAAATTTTCTAATGAAATAAATTCTTTATCTCTGAAATACTATCTTGATGAATGCCAACTAAATTTATGGTGCTGTTTTACAATAAATGTTTGCTGAGCCATTATGCTATAACTATATACGATAGTGTATGTCAAATTTTTAAATAAGTATTACAAAACACTACTCTCTTCACCATACTCTAAAATCATGAGTTTGTCTAAAATATGATTACTTTTAATAAGAACAGTTTTTATATATATATGTATATATATGTATATATATATGGATTCATATATATGTATATATATATATGGATCACTAATTTGCTATCGATGTCTGTCATGTGGTTATTAATTTTTTAAATCCTATAACCTTACAGTTTCTAAAATTGTTGCAGTTCCCTACTATTTAAGTAATTTTGACAGGGAATCTTAGCACTGTAGCACTGTCCTCCCGTTGTTCATCGATTTGCTCGAGCGGGCACCAGTAACGTCTCCATTGTAAGACTTGTTGTTACTATTTTTGGCTTATCGAATATGCCATGAGGAGCTTGCCAGGCTCTGCTGTGCGGATGGGATACTCTCAGTAGCTTGCTGGGCAAGAGGGACAGAGGCATCGAACTCCAGTCAGCCGTGTGCAAGGCAAAGGCCCTACCCGCTGTGCTATCGCTCCAGCCCATATTTCATGGTGATTCAATAAAAAATAGTAATAATAATTTTCTTAAAAAGAAAGTTATAGGTCCAGGAAAAGACAGGCCTTCCTAATGAGGAAACAAACATGGTCAATAAACAGTGTATACATTCATACATTCACACCCAGCAACCAGAGGGGCCTGTCACCTATGAGTAGCTACAATCCCTATGAGGAGAGAGCATCCCTAAGGATGAAGGGAAACTGAAGCATGCCCTTAAGGGAGCTGGGACAGATGAGAAAGTCCTGGCAGAAATCATTGCCTCAAGAACTGACAGCCATAAAGCAAGTCTATGAAGAAGGTGAGTATTATGACAGGGAATCTTAAACAGCAAAAATAGCAAAAGCGGGGCTGGAGCAATAGCACAGTGGGTAGGGCGTTTTCCTTGCACGCGGCCGACCCAGGTTCGATTCCCAGCATCCCATATGGTCCCCTGAGCACCGCCAGGGGTAATTCTTGAGTGCAGAGCCAGGAGTAACCCCTGTGCATCGCCGGGTGTGACCCAAAAAAAGGGGGGAAAAAAGGAAAAATAGCAAAAGCTTGTTTCTCCAAACTTTTTGAATAATATTGCTATAGACCTTAAAGCTTTGCACCCTGAGGTGGGCTGGGAAGGGTGGTTGGAGTGATAGTACAGCAGGTAGGTAGAACTCTTGCCTTGCATGCAGCAGACCCGGGTTTGATCCCCAGAACTCCACAAAATCCCTGAGCGCTCCAGGAGTAATCCTTGAGCACAGAGCCAGAAGTAAACCTTGAGCACCAATGGATGTAGCCCATAAACAAAAGCTTTACACTTTGATCTGGCTGCTCATAATGACTTGATATTTTTTTCCCTGGTATAGGAAGCAACTTTGTTTATAGTCAGCATTATAGGAGATATAGTTTGAGTAAGAGAACTAAATAAGGTCCATCCAACATTTCCCATCTAGATTGCATCTTGAGAGTGGGAACTGGTGAAAGAGTTTATTTGCAGTTATAAGCATATGTTTCAAAATCAGTAATTCCTGGGATTCATTTCCTGGCACACATTTGCAATTCATGTAAACGTAAATTTACACACACAAGTTTACCCAAAAAGATTGTACAGATTACTCCATCCTCTGAGATTCTGTTTTCTTGATTATACAACAGGAATAATAGCTGACTCATACCATATTATTGTGGGGAATAAAATGAGTTCAGACCCATAAGCCCCTAAAATAATGTTCACCGCATAGAGTAAGAAATAAAGAAATAGCATTCTGTTCATCTTTAAAGAAATATATTTATTAGCTAGATAAACTTGATTCAATAGGAATGAAAACAAGAGGACTCAGCAATAGTACAGTGGGTAAGGTACCTGTCTTGAAGGTGGCTGAATTGGGTTTGATCCCCAACATCCCAGACAAGTCCCCTGAGCAACACTAGGAATGTTTCCTGAGTTCAGAGCCAGGAGTAACCCCTAAGCCAGGAGTAACCAACCCCTGCGCATTGCCAGATATGGCCCCCCAAAATAAAAATAATAAAAAATAAATAAAAATGAAAATGAGTATCATAATAATTTGTTAGAGTAGGTGATTGTTAATGTAATCTGCCAAGCAGTAAAGAATAACTGTCCCAAGGCTGCAGAAAACTAAATTTCAGGCTATGGAATAATGGTGAGAGTGTGTCACAAACATAATTCTGTGAACCTAATTCTGTGAACTTGAGATCCAATAATATGTATCAAGAGGCCTATGAGAGGAAGTGGAGAGGTCCAGAGGATTGGCCCTAATTCATAAGATCATTGGCCATCCCTAAAAGCTCTGACTGTGGTCAGCTTGATCATGATGCAAGCTCTCTAGTTATGTTCTTCAGTGATGAAGAGAAATAAGAGATCAAAACAGAAATAAGTTCATTTTGAAAATTGAAAGAAGTTTTTGAAGGCTGCTTTATGATAAAAGTTGTTCGCAGAAACTATGCCAACGGAGGAATGATTCTTTGAGTTGTCACATAGTTCCTCAGAGTCTTTAGCCAAAAATACAAATGCCATCAACATCCCAACCTTGAATAAGAGCTCCTTTCAGCCTGCTATCAGTTATAAGTGGAAAGAATTATTGTGAATTAGTGTGAGTGGTGGGTATTTTTATCTTGAAGAACAATCTGAGTGATGTTATGAAAACAGATATGTTCTTCAGGATTTTAGCAACAGAAAAAAATGCATATTAAGTTTGGTATTAATCTGCCCTGCTCAAAATACCTTATTTCAAGAAAACTGCTTAAAATTATGAAAATGGGTTTAAATTCCGGCTGATCTATGACCAAACTCATGACCAAGGAAAAGGAACACTCATTAAATTTTTATCTAAAAAACCTCTATAAGGTTTTGTAATATGAAAATCTTTGAGGAAAGACCAGAAAACAAAATGGCACCACAATGCATCTTGA